TCTCTCCCTCTCCCTCCCCCTCTCTCCCTCTCTCCCTCTCCCTACCTTCTCCCTCTCTGTCTGTCCTGCTCTCTCTTACTCTCTCTGTCATGCATCTTTCCATTTCCAGGTATTCACAGAGATGCCATGTGAGCATTACCTTGTTGTGGCTCAGCTTGTCCTGGCCTCTGCTCCAGAAGATATACCAAACTCACAACAGGTCAAAACACTTGTAAAGGTGAGTCGTAGCTCATTTCAGCAGTGTATTTGTAAGTCTTAGTGCTTTTACTGATCTAAGTGTGTATGATGTGTTGGTCTTTTTCTTTTCTCCTTTTTTTTCTTGTTCTTCCTTTCTTTTTTTTTCTTTTTTCTTAATTCTTTCTTATTGTTTTTACTTTATTATTTAATCTTACGAACATGTTTATAATATGTTATAATTCAGTCCTGATATTTTATTCGCTGAGTGTTTCATTTCACTAGTCATGTATCTTTCCTAATATTTGTCTTTCCCATTAGGATATATGGGATCTGAGAATCTCCAAGTTACGGTCATCTGTAGCTGAATTCATCCAGAGTGAAGGAACTCATGCTAAGCTAGATCACTTAACTCTTTTGGAAATCAATAGCATCCGACCCTTCCTGCCGCACGCCCTCGATCAGCTGCACCGTCTGTCCAAAGCAACTAACAACAGTGCTCTTAGCCAGACTCAAGATTTCTGATTTAGTGTAGTTGTTTTCATTCGTTTTCTCTCAAAGTCTATTTTGGTTTCTCTGTGTTTCAAGGGTTGGGATTTATTTATTTATTTATTTTTATTTTTTTTTTTTTTTTTTTTTTACTGGGATTAGTTTTTTAACTGGAATGAATTTTGTTCAGCTAGAAAAAGTTTGTTATAGATCATTATTATCAAGTTATTTTTATAATATTTTTGATACCCTTCTAAGAATGCATTGAGTGTTTTTTTTTTTGTAAATGCTTAAGCTGGTAATGACATAATATATTTTTATAATATTTGTATCGAGTATTTCTAAAGGGTTTATGATATATTTGAAATGTGGATTCTTGGTAACCTGTACTGATGTCCAAATATAGATTTCTATGTCTTGTATATTTTCTTTTCTTCCCCCCATTCCCTGCCAGTTATTGTCGTAGGGGCTTAGGAGATGGAGACTATGGACCAGTGCCAGGGATCGCCCCTACCTTTAGCCTCGGTCCTTGACTTAACTAATATTGCAAGGTCTTTTCTTCCTTCTCTTCCCCAACTCCTCCTATTACCCACTCCCAAAGTTCTGACAGCCATGCTGAAAGGATGAAAGTCTGGCTTTGTGTCAGTCATGAAAAGCCTTGGGCACAGTATTCTTGTTTAGTTGTCTAGTCCTTACCCCACAAGGGGACCCTGAGGGGTGACCATTTCTCTCCCCAACATACTCCATGTTTACCATGGCCAGCAATGAAAATTTTGTACCCTAATTAGTGGCAATGAGACTAGCCCCACTGATTTTAATTCCCCCACTTCCCTGACCCCAGGCTCTTCTTTGACCACAACTCTGAACACTACTACTGTCTACAATACTAGTTGACAAAACACCACTCCCTCTTCCGCAAGGCCCTGCCTTTCTACTACCCCACCTCTGAAAATCTTTTTTCTAGCATACCCAAATAGGATTGATTTCTTGTGATCCCCCTACAGCCCCTTACTCTGACAACACTCATCTAGCAGTCCTTCCAAAAGTCTCCTTCCACAGCTGCCCTAATCCTTCAAGCCTAGTCACGGATATATCCGAATAACAAGCTAAAACATTATCAACTCTGACTTCAGTGGCAAACCCATTCCTACCTAGGACAGGGGTGGCCCAGAAAACTTTATGGTGGGGGGCACAGGGGGTAACAACAATAAATTTTGGGGGTGCCGCCACATTACATATACAGGGGGGCCATTACGAGAAGTCAATGACCATTGGAGGGGCACACATAGTGGCCAATCAGATTTCAGGGGGGGGGGCAGGTGCCCCCTGTGCCACCATGGAAGCTCCACCTCTGACCTAGGATCATCCCTCCCTCAACTCTTGTACTGCAATTCTTCCCGACAAACTGCCCTGTCTGCAACAAGGATTTGTCAGACTGGGGAGAAGACTTACTCACCTGTCTCATGGACAAGTATGCAATATCAGTACTGTGCTTCACCGTTCTCCCTAGGTGCTGCTGTTAGTCCTCTACCAATATTCCGTATGCATGATCCCTTTCATGTTTACATTGGTCCAACCATATTAACCTCCCTCCTGTCAATGTCAAAGTTGTTGGTGTCTATCAAATCAACCCCCCCAATCCCCAGCCCTTGTTGCTTGGGGGGGAGGGCTTAGGAGATGGAGACTGGGACCCAACACGGGATCACCCGTCTTGGGCCTCAGTTCTCGTCTCAACTAATTTTGCATGCTTTTCCCTTCCCCTTTTCGTTAACTTTTCTTCTCTAATCCCTTCTACTCTTCACTCCCTAAGGTATGAGAGCCGTGTTGAAAGAATGAAAGGCAAACTTTGTGCCAGTCACGAGCTACCTGGGGGAGTCATGGGCACAGTATTCCCGTTTAGTCATCTAGCCCTTACCCCGCAAGGGGACCCTGAGTGGTGGATTATTTCTCTCTTCAACATACTCTAGCCTTACCATGGCCAGTAATGAAGAATTTGTACCATTCTTAGGGGCAATGATGCTTCTCCCGTTTTCAAATAGCTCCTCTGATTTCAGTTCTCCCAGTTCCCTGACCCCAGACCTTCTTTGAGTACGACTCCCGCCACTGTTGCTACTGCCCCTTTCTCGATGCCCCTTATCACATCAGTCCAGTCCCAATCCTCCATCCAGGTTAATATCCAATCCCCAGGAAGCATTCCTCCTCTCCCAGCATCCACTACTTTCTTCATCAACTCTCCCATTCACATACACACATATATATATGTACATATATGTAAATACGTATCTATCTAAACATATGTATGTATGTATATATAATATATAATATATATATATATATATATTATATATATATATTATATATATATATAATATATATATATATATATTATATACATACATACATATATGTAAATATGTGTGCATGTATCTATATGTTTACACAGACACACTCACACAACGTAACCTCAGTTAATTCTGCATGTTTTGTTTGATATCCAAATTGGGCCTTGGGTAATTTAACCATTCTCATTTGGTTTTTGGTTAAGTTTTGTCATTTTGTTATACTATTGATTAATGATTATTGTTAACAATGGCTGCATAACTCCAATGTTTTATGTTTGAATGGAATTTTGACTTAGTAATTTTGTTTACTCAACAACTTTCTGTCTTATTCAGAAGCTGAGATATGGTCTCCCTTACTCTCTCCGTGGTGCTTTCATCCCGACCCTCGAGTCCCTCCTTCACCCCAACTCTTCCATTCCTAGGCGTTACAGAGAGGCTCTTCATAACCTGTGCAGGGATGTCACCATTTGGCCTTCTGATAAAAGCAACTTGGTGGTGTTCCTCGACCGTGCTTCCTACCTGTAGAAGGCCCGGGACTTGTTGGATGACGCCTCCACCTATGTCTCCCTGACCCCAGAGAACGCATCGCTGCTACCGTCGACGGTCGTCTGAAAGAGCAGCCTATTTTCCGGAGGCGAATTTTTCCGAGCTTCAAGGTCATCATCCCTCGTCTCCCTCATTTCTATGGTCTTCCCAAAACCCATAAGCCGCCGTGCCTCTGCGCCCCATCATCTCCTCTCGGGGATCTGTGACGCAACCTGTTGCGGCCTGGTTGGCGAAGTCTCTCACTCCCCTTCTTGGCACCTTCTCTCCTGCTCACCTTCGCCACTCTCAGAACTTCATCTCCCGTGTCCGTGGTGTCTCGCAGGTGACAAGATGAGCTTGGATGTCGACTCCCTGTTCACCAAGGTCCCGCTTGATGACATCCTCCCATTCCATCAGAGGAAGCTCCCTGTCGAGGATCCTCGCCTCCCTCTGCCCACTGACAGTTGATTCGTCTGTGCGTAACGTCGAATTCTTTTTCCTCTGAGGGTCGCTTCTACTCTCAAACGTTCGGTGTTTTGACACGGGCTCTCCTCTCTCCCCAGTCCTGGCTAACTTGTTCATGGAATACTTCGAGTCAGCGCCTCTCCCTATCATCTCCCTTCGTCCTTCTGTTTGGCTGAGGTATGTTGACAACGTCCTTGCTCTATGGCTTTATGACCTTGCACTGTTCCCTGATTTCCTGTTGCAGATGACCTCTCTCCTTCCATCCGTTTCAAGGTGGAACGGGAAGTTGACAACAAGCTTCCCTTCTTGGACACTTTAGTTCATCGCTCTGCTGACCATTTCTCCTCTATATACAGGAAACCCATTCACAGTGGCATATACATACACTTCTCGTACCATCCACTTCATGTGAAGAGAGGAAATGCCACCTCGCCGTTCCTCCACGCCCTCCGCATCTGTGATCCCCAGTACCTGGGAGGAGAGATCAATTTCCTACGTCGTTCGTTCTCCAAACTGGGCTACCCTCGCCATGTTCACGATGTCGCATTATACAGGGTGCAGCGTACCTTCTACGACTCCTCTCGTAAAGAGACCCCTCACCTGCCCGTCCTCAGCCTGCCCTACACTGAGGAGATCTACTCTCTTTGTCGCCTCTGCTGCCTTTCAACTGCAGACTCACCTTTTGCCAGGTGAGCACTCTCCGTCACAATTTGGTTCACACCTGCCCTCCCTCTACCTCGAAGGTGGGTACCTATGCTGTTCCTTGTGCTTCCTGTGACAAGCGGTATTTTGGTGAGACAGGCACCGGTCTCTTTAAGCGCCTGTCTCAAAATAAATACACTGTATCCAGGGGACACAACAACATCGCCCTCTTTTGCAATCAGTGAGACACACGCCATCAAATGGATTGGTCAGCAGCGCACATTGTCTTTCCTTCCGCTGATGTCTATGCCCACAGACCGGTAGAATCTTTAATCAAACTGCTACCCAATTTAACTTGATCAGCGTTTTTTTCTCCTGCCGAGCCTTCCACTTCCAACAACCTCCGCCTTCTTCCGTATGCCGGCCACCCTTCACGTAGACCGCCTGATCCTTCAACCTGACCTGACATCCCTTCACTTCCGTTCTCTTGTCCTCACCTGCTTCGTGTTCCCCACGTTGCCTCTCATTTCTCTTTCTCTTATACTTTTTCCTTTCCGCTTTCCCCTTCAGACCCGAAGATGAAATCAAAGGAGGATTCCGAAAACGTTGTCTCACTTATTTCACGAAATTTACATACATACATATATACACGTGTGTGTGTGTGTGTGTGTGTGTGTGTGTGTGTGTGTGTGTGTGTGTGTGTGTGTGTGTGTGTGTGTGTGTGTGTGTGTGTGTGTGTGTGTGTGGTGCGTGTGTGCGTGCGTGCGTGCGTGCGTGTGTGTGTGTGTGTGTGTGTGTGTGTGTACATATATACATATAAGGATAAGTCCGATATGCGAAGCTGAGCCTCGCCCGGGCTATGGGGGAGCCCGGTCTGTGCCGACAAATGTCGACTCGATCAACGTGTGTCAGCGAGTGCTGACGCGACAGAGCTTAGTCCTTACCGCACTGTGGTGCCCAGCCACAGCAGTAACCTCCGGGCGACAATTGTATCTTCTCGCGCCTGGGTGGGGCGCGAACCTGCCCTGCCTATAAGCTTGAATGTGAGGTAGCAGTTCTCAGATTCAAACTAGGCCTCACTCTACATCTGGATAGGAAGCACGACGACGAGTTTTTTTTTTCTCTCTCTCTCTCTCTTTTTCAAGACAGTCCTCTCCTCCTTGTACACCATTCCCTTTTCGTTCTCCTTTATCCTCACCTCTCCTACGTGGATACTCACGTGAATCCCTTCTGTATTAACAGTGTTCTCTGAATTCCTCTCTATGATACCACCTCCTTCCCCAGTCCCCTCATACCATCCACCAATCTTCTCCAGCTATTCTCCAACAGCCATCTTTACCCGCATTTACCCATTGATTACTCATTCATTATTTCGAAACAGCTCTTTTACCAGTTTTTTTTTTCTTTAAAGCAATGTTACTAGCAGCTTCCCCAACAACAAATATACCCCATTTTATCCAATCGCCCTATACCCTTAACTCTTTGCTTTATTTATCTCCGATTTACTTCATTTGCATCTTTAACCTTTTCCTTATCATATTCTCCGATAACACTATAACCTTTAACATTTAACACTCTTTATTCGAATTGTTGACTCATATACCCTTTTCACCACAATTTTTTATCATAGTAATATATGACCTTAGATGTCTGGCACATTTCTTTGTATCAACCATCATTAAACATTAACGATTTGGGGGGGAAGTGTTCTGATACTGCATTGTCAACGACGGTGGCGAGCCAGTCGCTTTCACAGTTTGACCAATCTTCATCGTCGACGCGACAATGATTAATGGTTAACTGTTAAAACAAATAAATGTGCTAGTCATCAAAGGTCCTATTAAAGAATCAAGGAGAACGTCAAAAGGGGAAGGATCCTGAGGGCATTATTCTGACAAAGCATCTAGGTGGGAGCGGAAAGGCCAGAGGAAAAAAAGAGGGTTTGGTGCAGATGGAGAAGGGGAGGATGGAATGTACTGGGATGAGAATGGGAGGAAGAGGGATAGGGGATACATGGGGAGGAGGAGGATGGAAGTTGATAATCACTTTAAATGTTCGGCCCATCTCAAGCATTTCATAAGTTTGGTCGATCTGCCCAAGCCACTACTTCCTAGGTCGTCCAACAGGCCTCCTCCATCCAGGCTTGTCTCGCACAGAGACAACCTGGTAGGCAGGATCCTCCTGCGGGAAACGAGCCAGGTGGTCGCATGGTCTGAGTTGGTGACCACGGATCGTGCAAATAACAAGTCCTGTACCAGTCTCGCGGTGCAACCATTGGTTGGACACGTGGTCCCGCTAACTGTACCCCATGATCCGGCGCAAGGACCTATTGCAAAAGGCATCAAGACGAGATCCCAAGGCACTGGATTATTTCTAGGTTTCACTATCGTGTACCAAAACTGGCATTACAAGGGCCTTGAAAACACGTAGCTTGGTACTTCTGCACAGGAACCGGCATCTCCAAATGCTCTTGTCAAGAGAGTTCAAGACTACTGCTTCCAGGCTAATCCGTCTACTGACTTCCTGGTCTGAAAGTCCAAGGTATGTAAAACTCTTTGTGACTTTAACGCCCGAGGTTCTCCTAGCAAGTCCCCAAAATCTTGGACCTTGATCTTCGTCCAAGAGACCCAGGGGCTTTTCTCCATTGCTAAATGCATCCAGAACCACCACCAGGGTTTCCAAGGACTCAGAATAGCAACATCATCAGCGTAGTAATAAAGTCTACATCAGGGTCCGTAACCTTGATATTGGCCAGAGTTGTTCCACATTGACTTTAGACAGTAGCTCTGCCCAGTACCCAGTACATGCAAGTAATGAAAAGGACACAGCCTTGCCTCACTCTTGAACTAATCGGAAAGAAGCTCGACAGATACCCACCACACATTGTAGCACTTTCAGTACCAGCATACAGGCCTGCTACTAGTCCAATAATCCTCGTTGGAATTCCTCTCAATCTCAGGATTTCCCAGACTGATTCCCGATGCACCGTATCAAACGCCTTCTTGAGGTCTATGTAATCTGCGAACAGCTCACGCCCGAACTCACGTTGGCGCTCTACAATGACTCGAAGCGCCAGGATTGAGTCAATTGTGGACTTACCAGGAGTGAATCCAGATTGCCCTAGCCTCTAGTGCCTCAACAAGTAGTCTTTAATACGTCTCAGACGTGCCCGGTATACTAAGCAGTGTGATGCCTCGTTGATTGCTGAAGTCCCATCCATCCCCTTTCCCCTCCCAGAGAGGGATGACCACACCCCTCAATAGGTCAGGGGTAACAGTATCAGACTGCCAGATGGCAGCCAGGACAGCATGCAAGCCTCGAGCCATAGGTTCACCACCAGCCTTTAACAGTTCAGTTGGGAAGTCACAGATACCCACTGCTTTGCCACTCTTCAGCTTGTAGATCGCCCCTCACTGATGGGTGGGTCTAGCAGCGGAATCTCGACACTACCCGCATCCAAGTTAACTGTTGGCGGATCAACCTGGTATAACTGCTCAAAATACTCATCCCAACGCTCCTGCACCCCAACAGGATCTGAGACGATCTGGTCACCTACAGAGCGGACTGCAGTCCCCAGTGAAGAGGGCTTGGAATTTAGCTTTCTCAGGGCTTGGTAGGCATGACGAAGATAATTTACTAAGAAATGGCCTTTGGCCTCCTCTGTAAGACTCCCAATACACTGTTCCAAGGCACTGGATAACGCCCAGGTTTCACTACCATAGCAAAACTAGCATTACCAGGGCCTTGAAAACACGTTAGCTTGGTCCTTCTGCACAGGTACCGGCATCTCCAAATACTTTTGTCGAGAGAACTTATGACCCCTGCTGCCAAGGATAAGTCTGATATGCGAAGCTGAGCCTCGCCCGGGCTATGAGGGGAGCCTGACCTGTGCCAACAAATGTCGACGCGATCAACGTGTGTCAGCTAGTGCTGACGCGACAGAGCTTAGTCCGTGATGCCCAGCCACAGTGGGTGACAATTGCAACTTCTCACGCCTGGGCGAACCGCCGACCCCTCGGATGAGAGGCCAACACGTTACCATTGTACTAGCCCAGAGGCTCCATGCTGGCAGGCCGATCCGTCTACTGACATTCTGGTATGACAGCCCAGAATTATGAACTACACTAACAAGGTATGTAAAACTCTGTGACTACTATGTCCTCGCCGCAAGCATGCACCAACTTAACAGGTTCTCCTAGCAAGTATTCTCAGAGTAGGGGGGGGTCACAAAAAATCGATCCCACTTGGCTAGGCCAAAGAGAGTACTCAAAAGGTTTACAAAGATAGAGGCTGTAGAATGACAAGGGCGAGAGGAAGATGGGGTGGTGTGGAGTGGAGTAGTTCTGGGGAGGGGGGGGGAGGACAATTAGTATGAAGAGTAGTAATAAGGGTTGAGGGGGTAGCCATTGAAGAAGACTATGCAGTAGGAGATGGAGAATAGAATGTTGGGAGAGAGGGAGTGCATTCTGGAGGTTGAGTAATGACCTGGGTTGGTGGTACAGAATGGATAGAGTTGTCAGTAAATGTCAAATAGGGTATTAGTATCACTAGTCAAAGCTGTGGTCAAAGGAGGGGCACGGGTCGGAAAACTATCAAAATTGAATTCAGATGGGCTAGTTAATGAAGCAGTAAGCTTTAATTTACCTGTTAAGGGTAAAAAATCTTCATTACTAGCCAGGGTGAGTATGAATAAAATTGGGAATTGAAACAGTACACTCATCAGGGTCGCCATACAGGGTAAGGGCTAGGCAATTAACCGTGCCCATGGTTCCCGTAGGCTGTTCATGACTGACATAAAGCTTGCCTTTCATCCTTACAGCACGGCTCTCACACCTTAGGAATGGGATAGAAGAAGGGTATAAAGAAGATACGGAAGAGGAAAGGGGGAGAAGAAAAGACCAAGCAAAATTAGTTGAGGCAAAGACTGAGGCCCAAGGTAGGGGTGATCCCCAACCTTGGGCCTCAGTCTCCGTCTTCTAAACACCCCCCCCCCATGACAACAACGAGCAAGGTATTTGAAGGGTGTTCCTGCCAAAGGTCGCTGTACGTCTTCTACCAGTATTGCCAAGATTACATTCCATAGATATGACCTATCCTATAGTGTTCATATTGGCAGAGAGGCCTGCCCTGTCCAACCATATAACCCTAGTCATAATTGTTCAAACTGCTCTGTGCAATTGCTCTAGCTCCAATGCATTTGATAGGGGCTACCCTACCTTCAAGTTTGAGTCTGAGGTGGCAGTTCTCAGATTCAAACTTGGCTTCATTTTACACGAGGCCAGAGAGGCAGCACACTGATGTGGTTTTTCTCTTGCTCCAATGCTGTCTTTTGCTCCTTCCCCCTTCCTCCCAAGATGTTTCTACATCTTCCCCATTATCTCTTCCTCCTACTCCATCCGTTCCTACTTTACCCTCTCTCTCTCTCAGTCAAATTCTTTTGCCATTCTAAATCTAGACAATCCAATCTCTTCACCTTCCCTGGTGCATATCCCTTCTTCTTTCTGCTTTACACGTCGTATCAATCTGAACATTCCACCCCATTTTGTACCACACCCTCTCCTATGCCTACCTCTTCCTCTGCTCCTCAGATGTCTGTCGTCTCTTTTCCCCCTCAAAAGAAAACCTTGGTTCCTCAGACTTTCCCAACTAACTCCCTTT